CCCCTGCTCCAGACAGAGACAGTACTGACTTTGGGGAATCCCGCCTGTGTGAAGGTTGGGGCTCATATTACATAGCCTAGCCGTAGAGTCCTCTCTGTATTCTGAGGAGCTGGCCTAGTAAAGGGTTTGTGGCAGCGTGGAGGCAAAAGAGTGACACTGGGCCATGCTCACCCTCTACAGGTCACTACGGCGCCTTTCTGCAGGAGGAATGGGATCTTCTGCAAAGAATGAGTGAGTCGGCTGCGAGCCACTGTGCCAGCAAGTGAAGGAGTCCCGGAGACAGTCTGGCCGGGGCTTGCAAGCACAAGCTGCGTGGTTGGGAGCTCAGGAGAGGACAGTGGTGATCCCTCTAGGGGCTCTTGGCCACAGCACTTTCCCTCCTGGAGGGAGGTGACTATAGAGTCCCCTGGCCTATACCAGCTGTCCCCTTAGAACCAGACTTTATGTAGTAGGACAGTGCTCCTACACGGGGACGGCCAGGTCTGTTGGGTGCCGCTTCTCATTGGAAGCCAGCACAGGCCCACGTCACATGTGAAAACAAGGAAAACCCGAGGGCATGTGCCAAGAGTACGCCCCTAGAACTGCTTTTTTGGCATTGCTGGTGTGGTTTTGTGGGTCTGGCATGTAGGGACTTGGGCCACTTTGGAGTAGGATTGTGATTCCCTCAGAGGCCACCTTTTCTTTCCTCAGTTATGTTGGCTCATGAGAGGCTCTCTGTTCCTGTCACGTGCAAAATCCGCGTCTTCCCAGAGATTGAAAAGACAGTGAGGTACGCCCAGATGCTGGAAAAGGCCGGCTGTCAGGTGAGGGCCATGGCTCCCATGAGTGGCTGTTGGGATCCAGCAGGCAATCTGGCCTCACATTCCAGCGCTCTCTGTCAGCTCTCCCTGACCGTCTTCCAAGACCAGAGATGGCTTTTGTTCCTCCCGCAGCTCGGGTGGGGGCTGCATCTAAGTTTCTGTGGGCAGGGCAGGGCAATGGATGGGGTTTTTCTGTGTAACAACTCTATCCTGGAACTTGCCACGTAGACCAGGCTGGCCTTGAACTCACAGAGATCTGCCTGCCTCTGCCTCTGGAGTGCTGGGATTAAAGGTGTGTGCCACCACTGCCCAGCTTCCAGGACCTTCTTGAATGGTGAAGTCAGTATCCAGCTTCTCTGGAAGTATAGGATAAGCCGCAGGGTATCAGACCTGGTGCTCTTCCCCAGCCCTGATGTTGGGCCTGGTCAAGTGTGCTCTGAGACATGTAGCTTCGGGAAGCATCAGGAGCCACCCTCAGCACCCTGCATCTTGAGTTCTTCCAAACGTTTCCTGTACTCAGGATCCTGGCGCTTATGTATGTTTTGTAATCGCAGCCTGGGGCTCCTCCACAGGGCCACGGCTCTCAAGACCCTGGGGGCCAAGGACAGATCCAAGCCAAGCCAGCCCTTGTTCTTCCCCACAGCATGGAAAGCTGAGAAACTTGAGCAGGTCCCTTATAATTGGTTTGGGACCTTGGCCCAGAGCCAGGCTGAACCGAGTGTTGGTCTGTTCTAGTTGCTTACTGTGCATGGGCGCACCAAGGAGCAGAAGGGGCCCATGGCCGGGACAGCCTCCTGGGAACACATCAAGGCAGTTAGGTGAGTGGATACAGTAGGTTGGGTGCAATCATTGGTCCCATGGGCTTTGTGGAAGGAACATAAACCTAGCCGCACACCTTGGGGTGTTTAGCATTACTTGATGTCCTGTAACTATCCAGGAGGGAAGGCAGCAATACCATAGAAGGCAAGGTGTCTCGGCGAGGCGGAACTTGGTGGTCGGTCCTCTGGCCCTCCCGGCTCAGCACTGCCATGGCATGGCGTAGGATTAGGCTTCTCCTCCCTCTACAGGAAGGCTGTGGGAATCCCAGTGTTTGCAAATGGGAACATCCGGTGCCTGCAGGATGTGGAGCGGTGCATCCAGGACACGGGTGTGCAAGGGGTCATGAGTGCAGGTGAGCAGATGGATGACTCGGCCTTGTTCTGTCCTTGTAGACCTGTTTAAGTAGACGGTGCCCACTGTCCTGTCTGCTCCAAGCAGCCCAGACCCTCAGACTTGCCAACCCTATAGCTAGCCAGCGACCTGAGTGGCCAGGAAGGTGTTCTAGGCTTTCTTCCCTCCACGCTTCCCAGAAGGTAACCTTCACAATCCTGCCCTGTTTGAGGGCCGGAGCCCTGCTGTGTGGGAGCTGGCTGAGGAGTACCTGGACATTGTACAACAGCACCCTTGCCCACTGTCCTACGTCCGGGCCCATCTCTTCAAGCTGTGGCACCACACGTGAGTTGCTCCTTGGGTAGGAGTTGTCAGTGGATCTCCCTAAGCACTGCCATAGCCCTGCCTGGAGTGTTCTGTGGTCTTCCCGAAGCAACTTGCCACCAACTGGTGGCTTGGCAGTGAGGTGGGGCAGGAGCCTGGGTGGGAAGAGATGTTGGCTGCGTGCCCAGCACTTGGCTCAGGTGGTGACTGGGAGTGACAGGCATCTGCCTCAGGCTGCAGGTCCATCAGCAGCTTCGAGAGGAGCTGGCCAAAGTGAAGACCCTGGAGGGCGTGGCTGCTGTGAGCCAGGCGCTAAAGCTTCGGTGCCAGGCAGGTGCAGGGCTGTGGGAGCCCAGCAGGTTCTGTAGTGGGCCACCAGCTTAGGTCTTTGACGGGCCCTGGGCCTTTGCAGGAGGACATGTCCAGGCAGCAGGAAGGAGTGAGGCCAGCTGGCAACCTGGCTGATTTCCACTGGATCTGCCAGCCCTACATCCGGCCAGGGTGAGCTAAGTCAACCTACAGTGGGATACACATAGGGGCCCTTTGCCATTTCCTCTAGTCGCTAAGACATGTCTCTGCTCTGAGTGAAGGAGAAGCTTTGTGTGGACAAAGTGCTTTGGGTACTTACCCAAGATCCTTTAGTCCTGTGTGGCTTTGTCCTTGGGGTTAACAGGTAGACTCTGGGGCTAGAATCTCCAAAGTGTACAGACTGACAGATGCAATCACAGCCTGCCTGGGCTCAGTGGTGCAGACCCTGGGTCCCTGGACTTCAGCTGTCATTCCAGGAAGGTTTAATCTCTGTTAGCTACTGTATCCTTGGACAGGCCCTCTTTGCCTGGGCTTAAGAATAGTTACTTGGGATGGATGGGAGGAAATGCATGTCCTTGGCACCAGTGCCCTCCATGGCTATCCAGCCCCTCTTTGCCCTGGGACCCCACTTGAGATCTGCTAGCCCTGAACTGATCACATTTTATGGGTGTCTTTGGTTCTGCCCACTGCCCTTTCCCTTCAGACCTAAGGAAGGGAGCAAGGAGAATAGTGGTGGTCGAAGCAAGCGGGCTCTGGAGGAAGAAGAGGGCAGCATGGACGGCTTGTCCAAGAATAAGCTGAAGAAACAGCTGAGGAACCCTCACAAAACCTTCGACCCTTCCCTGAAACGTAAGTGCTACTCTTGCATGGGGCTGAGGCAGTCTGAGAGCTTCTGAGGATCTTGACACAAACAGATGCAGACTCAGGACTTTTCAGTATGGTTTCTAAGTGTGCAGCTTTGAGGTCTTAGTCCAGTGCATTGTCTTCTGTGCACTGGTCATTTTGGCAACCTGGGCTCTTACACTCAGCTGCTTCCCAGGAGTTCAGCAGTCTGGTGGCAGCTCCTTGGGAGTTTTAGCTGGCAGCTTTGCAAGCCTGGGGAGATAGCAGGAAGGACCCTATCACAGCCCTTTTATATGGGAAATGCCATAGTAGTTTCTGCCTGCGGTTCTGCACCACAGCAAGTGGGGCATTAGGACGGGTTCTGATTTTAGCTCTTTTCATTGTTTGTTTCTGGCGACAGGTCTCACTCTACAGTCCAGGCTGCCGTGGATCTCACTGTGAGGCCACACTGACCTCATACTTAGCAACAGAGTGCTAGGATTGCACCACACCTGGCTGCCCTTTTTTTGGTGGGTGGCATGGTAACAGACCACGGGCTGGGATAGTTAGCCTACCTGTTTCTCGTTCATTTCCAGCAAGGCCAGGCTCACTGTGCCGTGTCACACATAACTAGTCACATCCTCAATCTGCTGGCCCAGGTGGCCGCAGCAAGATTTGTAGAGGTGGGTGGCAGCCAGTCACCCTGGCTTGCCACATGTTCATCTCATTCAACCAGCCCTTTTTCCCCCCAGCCAAATATGCCAAGTGTGACCAGTGTGGAAATCCAAAGGTGAGCTGGCCCTCCTGTTGCTCTGCCTACCTCAGACTCTAGCCTGGGCATGGGCGTTGGCCTCAGTTCACTAGCTCTCTTGTACACAGGGCAATCGATGTGTGTTTAACCTGTGCCGCGGCTGCTGCAAGAAGCGAGCATTCAGAGAGACAGCAGACTGCCCAGGTGAGGATGCTGCCTGCCTGCCTGCTGCAACCAGCCCATCCACCCCCGGGCAGCTCCTAACCACCATCCCTCTCTTGCCCCCCTTGTCAGGCCATGGATTGCTTTTTAAGACCAAATTAGAGAAGTCTCTGGCCTGGAAAGAGACCCAGCCTGGGCTGCAGGAACCTCAGCAGGTGAGGCCTGGAACACCAGGTGGTTTCTCTGAAGTCATGGGTAGTGCCCTAGCCTGAAAGCCAGCAAGAGCCATCTCCATCCCAGGACAGCCACAGAAGCCTAGACACTCTTAAGGAAATGCCTTTACTCAGGGAATCTCCTATTTGACACAGAAGGACATGCTGGTGTCTTTAGGCGGGGGCCTGGCAATGTTGTACCAAGGCTACCTTGGCTGGACTTGCCCGGTTCTCACAACTGTGTTTCCAGCACTGAACAATAAACCATTTCAGAGATGCATTTGCAGAGATCTAATAATGGCCTATGTCTGCTGCTCCCAGCCCTCATCCAAGGTCCACTGAGCCAGGAGAGCAGGCTCCTTGGGAGTCAGGAACAGTATGAAGTGAGTGGGGCACTCCCTGCCGTTTCTGAGTGGTCAGAGTATCCAGGGGATTGCCCTGGATAAAGCAGAAAGGAACAGAGCCTGGGGCAATGATCAATCTAGACTTTAATGGACTACACTGCTGCAGTCACAACTACACATGGACAGGAGGGGTTTGAGGTTCCCCTACCTGGGCATTGCACACGGTCTGTTTCGTTGGGTCAGAAACCTAGAATCAGGCCTGAGTGGCCATAATGGGCAGCTTGCCTGCCACAGCAGAGAATACCTCAAGAGTGGAAGGGCCAGGCTGCACTACTGAACCACACACAGTCCGGAGCCTCCTCTTGAGGAAAGCAGGCAGGAGGCCCAGGTGCTGCTCCCATGGGCAGGGTAGGAGTGCAGACCACACTCAAGGTCAGGGAGATGCCTTTTACATGTTGGTGCTCATCCGTGACTGGCTGTTGGCTGGAGTCAGCTCCCCTTGGCTCCCTTCTCTAGGAGGAGACTGCAGTGGACAGGGAGGGTTCAGTGGAGGCTGTGTAAGTGCTGCTCGTTCCTTCACACCCCAGGCTGCTCACCTTGACATGGATCTGGTTGCGCAGCACAGCTGCCCTCAGAATCATGGCTTTGGCACGTCGTTGGAACTCCTTGCCCATCAGCAGGGACTTCTCAAAGGTGGTGCTGCGCTGATCCACGTCTCGAGCATACAGTATCTGTACAGGCATGGGAGAAGGTTCACAATGGCCCAGCAGGTCTCCACACCACACACTCCCAGCAGCCCAGCCCTGCCTACCCACCTTGCTGTGTGAATCGATGCGGGCATTAATGAGCCCCTCCAGGATGAGCTGCGTTAGCTCATCCTCCAGGGCTGCAACTGTCGTGTTGAAGGCTGCAGCCATCTTGTGCATATCAGCTGACACGTAGGGGCTGAAGTACTACAGGACAGAAGCCACAAGCTGTCCACTGCTCCACAGAATGTCTGCATCCCACACAGCTATGTCACCCCCTCTTCTACTCACTTGAATGAGGGCCCGGTTGCGAATCTGAGTATACAGTGTCCTGACGTGGGGGGCCAGGTACATGTCCAAGAGCAGGTTGTCCTGCAGAGGAGAACGTGTCAGTGACCCTGAGGCACAATCTGGCCCAGTCTCAATGTGACTATACCCTTGTCCCTTACCTTCATCTCATCCAACATCTTCAAGCATGAAGCATACTTGGACTCATAAAATTTGAAGATGATGTCTCTGACCTGTGGCTCCAGCTCCAGGAACAACTTGAAGGAGCTGAGGAGACCAGACTGTTAGCTAAGAAGGGACAGAAGGGACTGAACCTGGGCAGGAACAGAAGGTAGGAGCCCGCCATCCAATTTACCTGCTGGAGATGACATTGCGTTGCAGCTCCTGCCGGTCAAAAGTGGCTAAGGCACACAGGCCACCGTAGACAGCCACATTGCTGGGGGACAGCAGCTGAGGGGCAGGAGGGGAGGCGGGGTCCTGGTCACTGGTGTACAGACCAAGGAGGGAGGCCAGAGTTGGGCCTGGCCTGCCCTTCCCTCTACCCACTCAGAATGCTTAGACCTCGCTCGAGAGGTTAACAGCTCAATCCGTGAGCCCTCACTTCCTCTTACTGACTTGGACAAGGTGAAGAGTTCCATATGCCCCTCCTCACCTCTGGGAAGTCGCAGTGATCAAAAGAAGCCAGAAGGAAGCACTTAGCGGCTTGCTTATACTTCCGTGCAGCCAGCTCAGCCAGGCCTAGAAGGGGACCAGAGAGGAGACCAATGAAGCTAGGCTATTTAGAGGAGGTTGCTAGAGCCCTAGGAGACCATGGTCATCAGTGGATAGCCCCATTGGCCTCTTTCCACCAATATTCCTCAGTTTAGGGACAGAAATCCTGTTAGTAACAGCATCTAACTAAAGATATTCCTGTAACTTAGGTGTCTGTAGGAAAATCTCAATGCCCTTAACATATAGCCAGGCTCAGGAACCAGCTCATTTACTTCCCCAGGTCCCACCAGCTTTTCTGCTTGAACTTGAAGCAAGTGCCACACAGAGAGAGACACAGACACACACCAATGCCCTGAAGCCTGCCAGCACTCTATCTCCTGCTATTTCTCCAAGGTGGGCCCTGTCTGAAGGTTATAAGGGCTTGAGGTGGCTGGAAGCCTCACCTGCAGCACACTTGAGCTTGGTGAGGATGGCTTGGGTCTGGCTGTCCCGCTCTCCACGCTGCTACAGGGGAAGGCAACAGACATGAGAGGCCCCCTACCCTGCCCTCCTCATTCAAGGAGCTCTACTTCCTGTCCCCAACCTACCCTGAGAAGGGACAAGAGTACGCTCAAAAGGAGGTTGGGGTAAAATGGGTATGGGGGGCTACCAGGGGACCAGACTACTTAGGCAGAGTGTCTGTGGAGGTGGACCTTACCTCAGCAATCTCTGGAGTGGACTCAGCCTTGCTGACATAGCTTAACACATGAGACCAATTTTGCAAGTAGACGCTGACCTGGCAGATGAGTAGGCAAGGCCAGACTAAGTCTAGGTTGCCTTTTGTGGGCCCTCCATGCCTACCCACCTGTCACCCAGGCCACCTTAATGACGTTGAGGCACATGTTGATGACATGCTTAGCGCTGGTGCAGTAGTCCCGGGCTCGAGAGTAACATTTGAGGGCATTGCTGAGGTCCCCACAGTCCAGGTAGTGATCACCCAGGTCATCATGGCCACGCCTGTAGGCCTGGCAATGAGTGGACACTGGTCGAGGGACCAGCCAGGCCCCGCCCCAGCCCCGCCCCCACCCACGTGCAGTCCAGCACCTGATGCTCTCTTTGATAGAATTGCCCTTGTAATTCTTCAAGTCTGTGTCCAGCTTCTCCAGTTTCAGCAGGGCCTTCTTCCGAGTGGCCTCCACCCAGGCTGTGTCCAGGGGTGGGGGCTCCACTCCACTCTCGGGGATGGCATCCGGCGCATTCTGCAGTTCCCTGAGGGATAACCTAGCCATCAGGACAGTGACAACCTCAAGGACCAGGGAGGAAGGGAAGAGGACATCACAAGCCTGTGTCTATCTTTTGCCCCACCCAAAGGACCCAATCTGTACCAGGGGCAGAGATAATTCCCAACCTAGGACCCCACAGTACGATAGGGAGGTTTAATTGAGGGTGAGAGGTTTTGACCCAGGCGTGTGTCCCCCCCCACACACACCAAAGGACAGCTACACTAGGTTCTCAATGATTAAGTATCCCAGTTGTCTACACAGAGGCAAAGGAAGCCAGGAGAGGGAAAACAGGGCCTGCTAATGATTCCCCGCCACTTGGAGTTAACATGTTCACGCCTCCCATGTGCAGAGGTACATGACAGGGCCATCACAGTGCACAGTGGGGCACAGGTCATGATGACAGGAGTACAGGAAGGCCCCACCAGAGCCGGGAGGTGGCGCACGCCTTTAATCCCAGCACTCGGGAGGCGGAGGCAGGCGGATCTCTGTGAGTTCGAGGCCAGGCTGGACCGACAGCCTCCAAAACAATACAGAAAAACCCTGTCTCATAAAACCAAAAAAAAAAAAAAAGGCCCTGCCAGACTTGGTCACTTGCCCCTTCCGAGGCCTTACCTGGTAGCCTCAGAGAGTTTCCGGTGGATCTCTTCATACATATCCACATTGAAGGTCCTTTGCACGAAGGACAGGGCCATTTTCAAGGCCTCCACCCGCAGAGGAGGGCAACGGTCAGCGATAAACTGCAGCCGCTCAATGCGCATCAGGCCGCTGTAGCTGGCTGCATACTGCTCCAGATCCTGGGGTGGGAGGAGATGGGGGTAAGCAAGGACCCAACAGCTTGAGCCGGAGTACACTATCCTTCCTTAGGCCTTGGGCCCACAGAATCGACTACCTTCCCAGATAGATTCTGGGAAGACATCACTGGGGTGGACCGAGGACCTTCAGCTCAAGCTCTGCACTGGAAAGTGGGAACCTGGGCATACCCTAACAAGTTGCGAATAGACCTCTGCTTCACACCGTGTCTCAATGGGGCTGGCTCCCTCTAAGAGGGTGCAGAGTCTTAGACCCACCTGAGACCCCAACATAGGCAGGCAAATGCAAACCCAGTTTCGTGGCTCAGGAAAAAAAATGTGACTAAAGTGGTTGCTAAGAATCACCAATCTCCCCAAGCTATCCACTACAGTGGGGCGTCTGACTTGGGTCCCTCAACAGACCCGAGCCGCCAGCAGTTCTCCCCACACGCGAGGATCCGTACCAGGGTAGGGTTCTCCACCACGTAGTTCACATCAGGTGCGTTCTGGGGGTCTTCCTGGGGATCCACATCAATCTGCATGGGCTCCACAGCCCCCTGCAATGTAGAAAGAGCACCTTGACGCACGGCGCCAGGGAGGGCAGGGGGGTGGCTCCTGTCTTCCGTGGTCAGTTCTATCCAAGATTTCCCAAGGCACAACCGCACTGATCTCCCACAGGTGCTGGTCGCCAGGTGCCCTCGTTAGCTCTCCCACTCAGGTGTTTGAGCACGACTCTCTGACTGACTGACTTCAGGTGCCCGCAAGCGCTCCCAGCCGCCATACGGATGCAGCTTCCTCCGGGCCACAGAAAACAAAAATAGATGGGACAGCCCATCTGCAGAAGTCGGGAGAGCCAAAGCAGACAGGCCGCGACGCGGAAGAGGTCGGCCGAGGGCTCGAGGGGCCAAAGGGCCCCGAGCGAGCGCCCCCGGAGGGCGGCTTCCCGCAGGGCGAGCAGCGGTACCTCGGAAAGCAGCGTGCAGGCCGACAGGCTGATACTCAGGTTGTAGTCGCCCGACGTGCCGGGCCGCAAGTCCGACCTGCTGTGCGCTGGGCTGCGGCTCAGGTCGGAGGCCGACGACGAGGCAGAGCTGGGCGCCGGGCTGCCCCGCATCCTGGCCTGACGCACCTCTCCCCGGCAGCCAGCACCAGCACCAGCACCAGCACCAGCACCAGCACCAGCACCAGCACCAGCACCAGCACCAGCACGAAAAAGCGTTGGCGCGCGAGGCGGGGGCGGGGCGGGGGCCGGAGCCCAGAGCGGCCCGCGAGGCTGGCGATGCTGGCGATGCTCGCGCGCCTAGGCCAGAGCCGCGAGCCCCGCCCCGCCCCGCCCGCCGCCGGCCCCGCCCACCAGGCCCGACCTGGACCGAACCGCCGCGCGGCGAGCGCAGCCGCCAACCCCTACCTGCAAGTTAAACACCTGAACCGGCAGCGGCATCTTCCACCCCCGGCGCCGCAGAGCGACGTTCACTTCCGGGGCGCGGGCCGCGGCCGTCAGTTCCGGGTCAAGACGCGGGGCGGGGCGCTAGTCACTCTTAAAGGGGCCGCCGCACTCTCAGGCGGGCGCCCAGCGCCCGGGCCGGGCGATCGTATGAGCCGCGTGCGGGGGGTGCTGTGCCGGGCCTGCCTCGCGCTGGCCGCGGTCCTGGCTGTGTTGCTGCTGCTGCCGCTGCCGCTGCCTCGCGCGCTCACACCGGACCCCGGTCGGATCGCGACCCCTGGTCTGAACCTCGAGGTCTCCCGCCTGCAGCCCGACGACGTCTTCATCGCAGTCAAGACCACTCGGAGGAACCACGGCCCGCGCCTGAGGCTGCTGCTGCGCACCTGGATCTCACGAGCCCCACGGCAGGTGCGCGCCCCGCCGCCCGCGCAGGTTCCTGGATCCCGGGCAACCACACCCCACCCCCGCACCCCTGTGCCCGGGGTCCCGCACTTGCTCCCAGACCCCCTCGCTGCTCACGGTGTTTTCTCCCACAGACGTTCATCTTCACCGATGGTGACGATCCTGAGCTCCAGCTGCTGGCAGGTGAGAAGTTCCCCTGGACTGAATTGTAGCTACTGTGGCCATTCTGTTCCTTGACTATAGTCACACAGCTGGTGGGGGGGGGGCGCAGAGCCAGGACACCCATCCATGGCCAGTCCACCGTCCAGTGCCCATTCTTCCAGTCGTCAGATTCCCCAGTTTCCCGGCAGGGTGCCACTGGCCAATGTCACCCACATTCCTCAAGGAAGCAATCGTCATCTCTTTCCAAATGAGGGCTGTGGTGGGGCTACCTTTGAACCTGGTCCGGTGGCTGCACAGGCATAGCCCAGCCTGAACCCCAAGGAGGCAAGCTGCAAGTCAACCCTCACATTTCCCGTTCCCGTGCAGGCGGCCGCATGATCAACACCAATTGCTCTGCCGTGCGCACCCGCCAAGCACTGTGCTGTAAAATGTCGGTGGAATACGATAAGTTCATAGAATCTGGACGAAAGTAAGTAACCTCACCCATCAGAGAACCCAGACTAAGCGTGGTGGGGGGCTCCCACCCAAATGGGGGGCGGGTCTCAGCGCACCGGCCCTCTCCCTCCGCCTTCAGATGGTTCTGCCACGTGGACGACGACAACTATGTGAACCCCGAAAGCCTGCTGCACCTGCTCTCCACCTTCTCTTCCAACCAGGACGTCTACCTGGGGCGACCCAGTCTGGACCACCCCATCGAGGCCACCGAGAGGGTCCAGGGCGGCGGCACCGTGAGTGCTGGGCTGACACCCTCCCTGAGGCTGACTCAGTGAATGCTTGCAAGCGTGAGAATAGGCTAAGACGGGCGTGGGCCAGGGACCCTGGGTCCAGGCCCCACGGAGCTGGCAAATCAGGCGTAGTGACTTGTTGGGAACACCCTATGCCTCCGCAGACTCTCCTACACGGTAGCCCAGGATGGCATGATTCAGCTGGAGGGTTGATGGTGAAGAGCCCTATCCTTGGGCACCCTTGACCAAGCTTTCCCTTTTTCCAGTCAAACACAGTGAAGTTCTGGTTTGCTACTGGTGGGGCTGGGTTCTGCCTGAGCAGGGGTCTTGCCCTCAAAATGAGTCCATGGGCCAGGTAAGCGGGAGATGGGGAGCCCCAGCGGCCTGGCTCTGGGGGTTGCTAAGGGCTGCAGAGGTGCTGACTGCCCTACCCTCCAGCCTAGGCAGTTTCATGAGCACAGCCGAGCGGGTACGGCTGCCTGATGACTGCACGGTAGGCTACATCGTGGAAGGGCTTCTGGGTGCCCGACTGCTTCGCAGTACCCTATTTCATTCCCACCTGGAGAACCTGCAGAGGCTGCCATCCGACGCCATTCTGCAGCAGGTAGAAGACACCCCCGGCCCGAGCCATAACCTCACTCCCACAAGGGCCCCGCCTGTCTCCCAGGGGGGGTCTCCCAGTTGTCCAGGGCTCCGGAGAGGGCTAGCCTCGGGATAGTCTTGTCCCTGGGGAGTGGACCCTGGGCCGAGGCCTTGCCTGCTGAATGGAGGGCCCTCAGGAGCAGAGAGGCTCATGGGAAGTCCAGAGGGGCTTCTGTACAAAGGGCCACTATCTTGGGTCCCTGAGTCTGAGGGGCGAGGGAAGTTTCCTCTACCGGGTAGAGTACTTGAGAGGAAGAACTGACCCTCGCTCTCCTCGATCCCTCCCCCAGGTCACCCTGAGCTATGGGGGTCCCGAGAACCCACGTAACGTGGTGAATGTGGCCGGAAGTTTCAGTATACAACAGGACCCTACGAGGTGATTGGGCAGGGGGGGGGGGAGGACCACGGGACACACAACGACTCTGCCGTCAGTCCGCTGCCCGGCAGGCCCGACCTCCCTTCTTCCCCTGACAGGTTTCAGTCTGTGCATTGCCTTCTCTACCCAGACACCCACTGGTGTCCTACGAAGAACAGGGGTGAGGTAGCTCTTCATTAACCGACGGCCCCCCCCCTGGTGGCTGCTCCACCCGGCTTGCTCAGGCCTTGGGCTCAAGCAATCAGCAGAAGATGAGGCTGCTTGAAGACCTCCCACGATCCCCCTTCCAGTTAGACACCAGGTAACCTCGGGAAAGTGAGGACAGCGGGCTGTGCGTGCCGGAGATCATCCAGGAACACCGAGAATGGGCAAATGCCACTGAGCCGCAGATGCCTAAGCCCAGCCCGAAGGTCTTCCCATGGATAAGGTCTTCCACCCCAGTGACTGTGGCGCAGGAGGGGACCGGTTCCCAACCTCCCACAGCTGCAGCTTGTCCTCACCTACAGAAGACGGTGCGGGGTGGGCTGGTCATCAAGGACTGGGCTCCAGGCCTGGCCGCAGACTCTTCCTGGAGGGCTCGCAGGACCACTGTCCAAACCCAGAAATGTGCAGACTACCCGGCCAGTGGATGCCCCAAAGGCTGTACTTCCATTACCTCAACCCTTGGCCCTCCCCGAGTCTCCCACAAACCAACAGCACAGTGAGAGCTGTTCCTTTAGGCCCCTCGGGAGCGAGGTGCAGACCCAGCCACCTTCTACGGGGGGTGCGCTGCGGGGAAGTGGCGGCAGGACTGAGTAAAGGCTTCTTTGTCATTCTTAGTTTGGTTCCTCTTGTACTAAGTGACCCCAAGGCACCTGGCAGGCTCAGCTTCGAAGATGTCTACAGGGCACGTTCCTCCAGGGAGGCCTGACCCCACAGCACCGCCCACCTCCTTCACGCTCCGTACCATAAGGCCAAGCAGGACTACAGAGTGGTTTCTCTCAGCACACATGATGGAGCATGACTGCCGTGTGCATAACTGCCCGAGTGTAAAGGCCTGCATGGACCACAGGTGTTTTGTGCATGGGTATGCTGGTTATATGGGAGTGTGTGGGCGTGGCTGCTGTGTGCGTGAATGTGTCTGGGGACATGGGAGTGTATGGGCATAGCTGATAAGTGTCTGAGTCTGCCTGTGTACATGGGCACTTGTATAGTGTTTGTGTGAGCATACTGAAAAAGGGTGTGTGCCCTGAACCCTGCCCACGTGTGCACATGTGTGTTGGTGTGTGTGTAAGTGCGACTTGATGGTCCCTGGCTTAGGATGGTTCAACTTCAACTTAGGACTTCGTTTTTTTGTTTTGTTCTGTTTCAGACAGGGTCTTCTTTTGTAGCCCTAGCTGTACTGGAGCTTGCTATGTAGACCAGATGAACCTTGAACTCACAGAGGTCCAACTGCCTCTGTCTCCTGAGGAGTGGAAAAGAAGTTGTGTGCCACCACACCCGGCAAGAACTTTTACTTAGTATAAAATAGGGTGGAAGGCAAGGCTCATGGCGAAACACTTTTGCCCTAGAACTTGTGAAGCCACAAGAAGAGGGAGGGCGTCTTGGTGTTAATGAACATACTTTATATACTGTGGAGCTCCTACTTCAAAGCTGGGTGTGGTGGTTCACACGCGTCAGTCATCTCAACACTGGGAAGGCTGCGGCCAAAGGATCCCCCAGGTTTGAGGCCAGCCTGATCTAAATTATGAGTTCCAGGCCAGCCAGGGCTAACTAAAGGCACTGTCTCAAGTAATTAATGCTCCTGTAAGTTAAATAGTCTTCCCCTGGACTGGGAACATACCATACAGTCTCTAAGTCATTGGCAGTCCTAGCAGTGAGTTCTTGAGGATGGGTACTGCTGTGTGCAGAGCAGGCTGTGTTGTGAAGCTAAGGCACTGTGTGTGTGTGGGGGGGGGGTAGGTATGTTAAATACACTTCCCATTTATGATGGTTTCAACTTGGGATGGGCTTCTGGCTTCCCTGTGTCCCTGGAAGAGCTTGTGTGTGTGTGAAGGGCAGGAAGCCATAGACATGCCTGGGTTCTGCTCACCAGAAGTGAAACATGCCCCAGAGCCCTGCGTGGTGGTGGTGGTACAAGCCAGTAATCTCAGCACTCACAAAGATGCAGAGTTCAAGACCAGCCTGGGCTAATACAGACCTGGTTTCAATACAAGAAAGACACTGGGAGATGGCTTGGTCACTGCAGTTCTTACCATACAAGCCTGAGAATATGAGTTTGGGCTACAAAACCCACACTGAGAGAAAAAATAAACTGGGCATGGTGGCGCGCGCCTTTAATCCCAGCACTCGAGAGGCAGAGACAGGCGGGTCTCTGTGAATTCGAGACCAGCCTGGTCTACAGAGCTAGTTCCAGGATAGCCAGGGCTGTTACACAGAAAAATCCTGTCTCAAAAAAAAAAACAAAAAACAAAAACAAAAAAAGACACTGGGCGGTGATGGCGCTCGCTTTTAATCCCATCAATTTGGGAGCAAGAGACAGGTGGATCTCCATGAGTTCGAAGCCAGCCTGGTCTATAGAGTGAGTTTCAGGACAGGTTCCAAAGCTACAGAGAACCCTGTTCCAAAAGAAGAAGAAGGCCGGGCAGTGGTATAGCACGCCTTTAATCCCAGCACTCGGGAGGCAGAGGCAGGTGGATCTCTGTGAGTTCGAGGCCAGCCTGGTCTACAGAGCAAGTTCCAGGACAGCCTCCAAAATAATACAGAGAAACCCTGTCTCCAAAAAACAAAAACAAAAAAGCAAGAAATTGTACTTGAGAACTGGCACCTGAAAGTAACCTCCACATGAACAGGTACACAACAAAAGGAAGAGAAAACTCGATTTTGGGTCAAACTTTACAGGTCTTGGGGTCCCGCGACTTCTGACAGCTGGCATTTCATGGAGAAGCTCTGTTTCTTTACAGTTGGGTCCGGGGTAGAAGGGCAAGGGCTGGGCCTGAGAAGCAGGCCCACAGTTGAGCTGTTTGAGCTTGAAGCAAGAGAGCATGGAGCTGTGGAGAGCTGCTTACAGCAACACCAGGATGCTATGAGGAAAGGAGTTACCTGTATCGGCCAGTTCAGCTGTGAGCCCAGGGTGGGGATGTTGCCAATCTCAACTCCGCCTGGCACCTGAAGTTTAGAGGCCTCATGTTTGCACTTAGCATGCAAAAATTTCCTCCTTACCCTGCCCTGTATTCACTCATGGACTCCACCGGTAAAGCAGTGTCTTTGAATTGCAGGGCCTGTGGCGCCTGCACCACGAGCAAGTCTAACGTATCAGGAGAAAGCCTGGGGATTTAAATGAAAGACATGCCGTCCAGCCGTTTGTGCTGAGAGAGTGCGGGAGTGCGTGTTTATCGCAAGGAGCCTTATATACAGACTTACAGCACAGTGGAAAAAACCCCAGGTGTAAGAGCTCCTGTTTTCATAATCAGAGGTTGATGCCAGTGGAGCAAGGCGGGAGCTGTAAGCCAGGGTTAGAAAACAGGATGCATCTGTGGTTATTGGCTGACAAGCAACTCACAGAGACCCCGTGGGGACTGGGGCCCAACAAGGGGCCAAGGATGGGAGCAAGTCCACACACCGACCCACAGGAGGGGTGTTTGCAGACTCTGCAGGGGTGGTGACCACCCAGAACAGACAAGGTGTTGACTGCCAGAGGCTTTCCGGAGTTAATGCAGCTTGCTATAGGATAAAGGACTGTGGGGTTGTGTTCCCAGTGCCTCCACCTGCCAAGGCTGGTCCTGTGTCCTGAGCATCCCACAACCCACTAATATCTGAAACAGTAGCTCCCACTCCACCTCACTGGTATCTTTGATTTATTATATTTAAGGTTCTCTTTAATAAATCTGGGGTTAGAGAGATGGCTCAGAGGTTAAGAGCACTGGCTGCTGCTTTTCCAGAGGTCCTGAGTTCAATTCGCAGCAACCACATGGTAGCTCACCCAACCATCTGTAGTGAGATCTGGCTCCGTCTTCTGGCCTGCAGGCAGACATGCAGGCAGAACAATGTATACAAAATAAATAAATCTTAAAAAAGTAAAATGATCTGTTACCCGGGCAGTGGTGGCACATGCCTTTAATCCCAGCCCTCGAGGAGCAGAGGCAGGTGGATCTCTGTGAGTTCAAGACCAGCCTGGTCTACAAAGTGGGTTCTAAGACAGCCAGGACTACACAGAGAAACCTTGTCTCAAAGGAAAAACAAAACAAGAAACCAACCAGGCAGTGATGGCACATGCCTTTAATCCCAGCACTCGGGAGGCAGAGGCAGGCGGATTTCTGTGAGTTCAAGGCCAGCCTGGTCTACAGCGTGAGTTCCAGGACAGCTTCCAGAACAACAGAGAAACCCTGTCTCCAAAAAAAAAAAAAAAAAAAAAAAAAAAAGAAAGAAAGGAAGGAAGGAAATTAAAAAAATCTGGGTGTGATGTTGCACACCTACAATTTCAGCCCTCGGTGTGTGGAAGAAGAAAAAGATGAAGAGTTCAAAACTTCATAGTGAGTTTCAGACACCCAAGTACACAAGTGGTATGTCCTAAATGTACAACCTTCTGAATATGGATTTACTTGTCATGCTTTCCTGTCCACAGTTGGTGATGTGTGTGTAAGAGAAAGCAGGCCTCTCCCTGTCTCCCTGTGTGCTCCCGTGTGCACACTCATGTTCACCTAGAGCCCTGAGGTTGATGCTGGCTGTCATCTTGAGTTGATCTCCGCATTATTTTAGAGACAGGGACTCTCAGTGAGCCTGAAGCTTACCATTTCAGCTCAACTAGACGTCAGGGAGCCAATTCTCCTCCCTCTTCCAATCTCCCTCCTCCCATCTCCCTACACAGAACTACTGGGAGCTCCACGCCAAATCCCCACAGTGCTCAGGGCAGGTGCAGCAATGGGCTGAATTAATCCTGGTGGGAACTTATAAAACAAGCAAACAAACGGAGGGAAAGGTCCCTCTCCTCGGCAGAAGCTGAGCCCGGGAGCCTGGGTTGTCAAGGATGAGGGGGCTAACTTGGGTCAATTCTCTCACTCTTTTCTTGGTCAAGCTGAAGGCTATGCTCAACATTTTCGTATTCCTCTTGGGTGACTAGCCATGCACTCTTGTCTAGTTTTTGGTTATTGACTGAAGATTTCTAACAGTTTTCTACTCTGGTCTCGTCATTCCTGCTGCTCAGATATTCTGGGAAGAGACTTGAGTCTCAGACATGAGCCCCTGGGGGTCTGCGAGCTACAACAGAACATCATTCAAGGAAGACTAGAGGGGAGCGCAAAGGAGCAGGGGTAGACTATGAAGACAGGCAGTAATGGGCACTTAGGGAGGAGCTACAAGTAGCCCCCAGGCACCTGGGACTTCACAGTTCAGGCTCAGCTGCGGGGACGGCAGGCACACAGACAGCAGGGGGCGCTGCAGTACAGAGAGAGCCACTGGCTGGGGCCAGAAGAGAATGGCTGCTGTCCCAAGTCCTTCCAGCACTTGGGGCCAGGCGGTCCGCCTCTGGGAAGTCACTGAAGCACTTTATTTTCTCCTTTGTAAAGAATAGAATCCATGGATGAGAGCCTGCCAATTTGTACCTATATGTGTCTCTTAGCAACGACGGTTGACTGTGAAGTCAATATTCCTTTTGGTGGTAACAACAGAGTAGTGCACAGGGCAGTGTCCCCACAGTCTCCTGGGATGGAGTAGCTTGAGATCACAAGAAAAGAGGATTAAGTACCAAGCATGTGTAGCACAGGGGTTTTTTTGTTTGGTTGGTTGGTTGGTTTTTCGAGGCAGGGTTTCTCTGTGGCTTTGGAGGCTGTCCTGGTACTGG